CGTATACACAAGGGCGCCATCGAGGGCGCGAGGTTATTCGCGCTTCGCGGTTTGGCTCCGATTCCTCCCCATCCTCCTCCTCTCCCCTGGGAGAAGGCGCGAGAGCGTGAAGTTATTCGCACATCGCGCTTCGCGCAGCGCGAAGCGCGAAGTTGGGAGCCCTTGTATACACCGCTCCTTGGCCCAGGACGGGCCAGGCCTTGGGCAGAGGCTCTGTATGGGTCCCGTCGCCCCCGACCGCCCAGGCCCCTGCGCGGTCCGTGGGGTCGCCGGGAAGAGGGCCGGCCTGCCCAGGAAGCTGCCGGCCTCTCTTGCGGCATCTGCCCGGAGCGCCTGGTATGCCCCTCTCTCTGTGCCCCGCCGCTCCAGCCCTCTCCTTTGCCCCGGGTACCAGAACACACCCGACCAGCGGCGGAAGCCCAGATCTCCGATGACATGGTTTTGTCGATCCAAGCGTGGGCCTTCTAATTTCGGCCCCTGGGGCCCGTTTGCGGGCACCAAGGCCAGCAACAACGAATCCAGGGCGAATAACTGGCCCCAGGGAAGGGGTCGGGAGCTCTGTGGCCACGCATTGGAGAAACAAAACAATGTTTCGGATGTTTTCGTATCTCCCGCTCCACCACCCCATCCGTGTCCTCCCGAACAGCACCCAACGGACAAGTCGGCAAATGTTTGTTTAAGATGACGCGTCGCCCACATGCGTATCAACGACACTGCGTAGGGAAGTGGTGTGCCCACTCACTGTAGATCACGGTCGTGCATGCAGTCGCCCAAGCCAGACACACTCACCGAGATAAATTCATTTTTGCGTACCCTCACACGGGTTTGTTTTCGTCTGGGGAGGGCGGCTAGAGATGCAGATGACCCGCGGTCGCGGAGGGGGCGGGAGGAAGTGATGTGAGAAGTGTGAACAGGAGCATTGCGATTTCGATTCTCACTAGGTGCTCGTGATGGCGAAGAGTAGCTTCAGCTTCATCTCGGCCATACTGAACCGGGGCCGCCCTGGGACGGACCAGGAGGAGGAACATGATTGATAAGAGGAACAAGATGAGCATGAGGAGGTCATGGGGTCATGGTGGGGGGGCAGAATGAGGGAGGATGAGGAAGAGATCCAGGATGGGTCGAGGTCAAGGTGGAGCGGTTCCTTGAAGATGGGTGGGGGCGGACAGGGAGGCAGGCGAAGGGGGAAGATGTGGATTCGGAGGATGTTGGCGGAGGGTTAGGAGAAGAACGAGGGGAGGCGGTGGAGAAGAATGGGGAGAGAATCAGGAGGGTTAGCATATGGAATGATGAGGAGGGGCGGAGAGGGACGACGAAGTATGAGGAGGATCTGGAGAGGAGGAGTGGCTGAGGATACTGATGCGTCTGAGGGAGAATGTGGGAGAAGGAGAAAGAGGGAGTACGTGCGATGAGCAGGGAGGATCACGAGGTGGGAGGGGGAGAATGAGTAAGTAGAGGATGCGGAGGAGCGGGAGATAGCACATCAAGTAGGGTTGGCGAGGCATGGCGAGGTAAGACAAGGAGAGCGAGGGGCAGTGCAAATGCAAGACACATAAACAATGTTTGAATCCACCCTGCCTCCAAGCCCCCTCTTCTCAGGCTCCTACAATGGTTCATCTCCACTGAGGGAAGTGTCCCGTTGGGTAACGCCCGTGTGATACTCCCGACGCGTGCCCAAACAACATTCTGAGAACTTCAACGCCACAAGTCAACCTGACTGTTTCGTCTTGACGCTCCTAAATTGTGCTAGAACACCATTCCTGGGACTTCAACACCGCGAATCAACGGAATTGCTGCGCCCTGACAATCCTGACTCGCTCCAAGGCGCCATTTCTGGTACGTGAACCATGAGAGTCCATGCAACTCTGGCAACTGTTTGGATCGAATGTGCGCGGTGCTAAGGCGAGAACCACAGTTTGAACACAAGTCACCATCAGTCCGTGCGCGGCGCTCAGGCGAGAGCGACCTTGAGAGAACCATTCGCCTTCAAGCCGTACAGCTTTGCACATATTTCACAGATGTGTGCGGCGCTAAGGCGATAGCGACAGTTTGAAAACCACCCGGCCTCACGCCGTAAAGTTTTTTTCCTGTGGTTTGAGTCAGTCCAGGCGGATGTACACGTCCCGAAGGCGAGAGCCACAGTCTGAACAGTCACCCTCTCAATGTGCGACACTCTGGCACATTTTAAAATGAATGTCCACGGTGCTAAGGCGAGAACCACATGTTGAAAGCACCCGCCCTCCATTTGTAAACCTGTTGCCAGTTGTTGAACCTCAGGCTCATACATGGTCAGGAAGTCTCAGGCGAAACGTCGTTCCCGCCCTTGCGACTGGCCTCGGGGTGCGACAAGCAAGAAAGAAAAGGAATGGAGGAGAAGCAAGGAGGACGTATCACGAAGGAGCAGGCTAGGGAGCGCGACGAGCAGGGGGATGTGGAGGGATTAGGAGGGGAGATGGGGGAGGCTGAATCAAGATCAATAGGCATCATTTTGAGGGAGTACGAGGAGGATAGATGAGGAGTATAGGGGGGAGAGGCAAACTTTCCATAACTGCCCAGCGCCCCCCACTCATTTATCGCTCCTTCTCTCCTCCGCCTCCCTCTCCTGTCTCTTCATCTCGTCTTCCTCTCCTCCCCCTACCCCGCTCCCAAGAAAACGACATCCGTCATCTTGAAAAAGGCTTTGTCGAGAAGATACACCCAGCGCTGCGGCGCTGCGCGCCCATGCCCGCAGTTCAGACAGCTTTCGCTGTAGTGTCGTGCGTTCGTCCGTTCCTCTCATCCCGCTTCTCCTCCTCTCTTTGTTCCTCCCCCTCGCGCTGCTCCTCTGCCAGGCTGCGTCGTGTACCAGCCCTGGCTCACCAGGCCCATCCGGAGTTTCACCGCCACGACCCTGCACGACCGCACCATGCCCACCATCGCCGAGGATCGGGGCGATCGCCCTTCCTGTTGCCCTTTGTCCCTCCCCTTGCCCCTGCAAGCCCGCCTCCTGGCAAGGCTTCTGGTTGCGCACAGACAGCCCCCCAGGCGTAGTACAGTGAGCGGCTTGAATAAGGAACACTTGCTTTTCAAAAGGGGCTCGGTCGTTCCTTAGGTTTGCATGCGTTATCTACAGTTCCTTATGCGTTATGTATTATGTATCGTTCCTTGTGCGTTATTCCTTGGGATAAAAAAGGGGCTTCGTTCCTTGTGTATCGTTCCTTAGGTCAGGCCGATGACTGTAGCCCTGGCTGGCCTCATCAGCCCCCCCCCCGAGTGACCCCCCGGGCAGTCTCGAGACGCCGCCCTCCGCCCTGGCCATACGGGCTGCGCCCGGGCGGCCTTCCCAGGTCGCCCAGCGGGCCTCCGCAGTCCCCGCTTGCAGCCCAGGACGGCCTCAACGACCAGGCACCGCCTCCTCCTCCTCCTCCTCCTCCTCTTCCTCCTCCTCCTCTTCCTCCTCCTCCTCCTCCTCCTCCTCCTCCTCCTCCTCCTCCTCCTCCGGCGGCGCCCCTGGGGCGCTCCGCTCCGCGCCCCTCGAGGTTGTTGAGATGTTGAGACCTCCCAGGACTACTTGGGGGCCGCCTGCCGAGGCCGGCCGCGGCTCCCTGGAGGCGTCGTCCTTGCGCGGCGCCCGCTCGACGTCGGCGTCGGCCGGCCCGGTCCGACTCGACCTCGAGTTTCTGTTCGCGGTCCGAGGCGGCCCGAAGCCTGCATGTTGGCACGGCCGATTCGTTTCGATTTCGACTCCGTGGCGACAGAGTGTGGCGACACTTCGAGCACCGCCCCGGAGGCCGTCACGTGTGGCGCTTCTCAGCTATCTTGGGCTCCTGTGAGGCAGCCTTGGGGATTCCTTGGGGCCCTCGTGGGTCGTCCTGGGGCCCTCCCGGGGCCCTCTGGGAGCCGTGCGGCGAGGTGCGTGGAAAGGGGGAGGGGCCCTCACAAGCTTGCAGGGGCCCTACCGGACAGCCCATGGCAGTCTGCCACGCCTCCACGCACCTGGGGTCAACGGTGGCGGACCTGCACGTCCGTGCGCGATCTGGCGGGATGTCCCCGTCGGCAGGGGTCGGCGCCAGGCACTCTGCGGCGCTCGGGGCGGACGGCAGCGCGTTACGGGGAGAACGGGCACCCGCGATGCCGAAGCTCGGGGCTGACGTAATTAACGGGGGCCAGCGCTCACAGGGGTCAGCCAATCTCCTCTTGGCTGACCTGGTGGGAACCACGTGGGGCCCATTCCCCCTGTCCACCCGCCGTTGGCTTGGGTTTGGGTGCTGCTAATCGGCCGGACGGGCTTCGCGGCAGGGCCCAGGCCGATCTGGGTTTGCTGGTTTGCGCTGACCCGGTTCAGTGCGTCCCCGATCGTCATCATCCTGGTGTTCATCAGCGTCCTCTTCGGGAGGAGGGGGCACCTTCGACGGCAGAAGCGGGGGAGAGGACGAGGAAGGGAATGAGAAGGTGGAGGCAGCAGGAGGACGCACGAGGGTGCCCGACGGGGAGCGGTAGCAGGAGGGAGCGTGGGGGAGGAGGACGACAAGGACGAGGGCAGTGGCACGAGGGAAGCATCCAACTCCGATAGGCGGCGAGCCCAGGGGGACAGGGAGAGGGGGCAGGCCTTCGCGGAAGGCGGCGGGGCTGCTAAGAGGCCCTCGCGCTTTCTGAGAAGCCGTCTGGGTCTTCGGAGGCCGCGCCCGCGGCTTCCCAGGAGGCGCCAGAGCTTCTGCGAAGCCCCCGCTGCCTTCTCTCCCTCCCCCCCCTGGGCTCGCCGCCGATCCGACGCAGTTCTTGGTTCACAAAGTATACCCCCTGGAGGTTTGGACCTCGTCAAGGGGATCCCTTCTCCATCATCTCCTGTTGTTCGGCGCCCCCTGGGCCCTGCAAGGGCCCCCAGGGGCCGAACAACGCCCAGAGATCGCCAGACGTGACTGTTTCCCAACGCGAGGGTGACAGGAAGGGAGGAGGAGAAGGAGCAGCAGGAAGAGGGTGAGGAGCAAATCAGGAGTTGAGGAGGAGTAGGGGGGAGGAGGAGGAGGATGAGGACAAGGAGGAGGAGGAGGCAGAGAAGGCGGCGGAGGAGGAGGAAGAGGAGGAGGAGGAAGGAGGCAGAGGAGGAAGAGTGGGAGGAGGAGAGAAGAGGAGCAGAAGGAGGAGAGAAAGGGGCAGATGAGGAGGAGGAGGAGGAGGAGGAGGAGGAGGAGGAGGAGGAGGAGGAGGAGGAAGAGGAGATGATGGAGCTGAGGACCGAGGAAGCTGACGAGGGAAGAGGGGGAGGAAGAGAAGGAGGAGAGAAGAGGACGCCGACGACTCCGATGCGGGGAGCAGCGGGCCGGGGACGGACGGCCCGTCCGACCGAGACTCGGCGAGGAGAAGCTCTCGGCCTGCCTCGCAAAGGCTGGGCCCAGCACCGCTTGAGGCCTCTGGGCGGCCGCGCTCGGGGCAGGGGGGGGCCTCCTGGGTCGCCGGCGCTGCTCCTCCAGCAGGCTCCTCGAGTCCGGCAGAACGTGAGGGCGACGAGGCCGAGGAGGAAGAGGAGGAAGAGGAGGAGGCCGAGCAGGAGGAGGAGGAGGAGGAGGAGGAGGAGGAGGAGGAGGAAGTGGAGGAGGAGGAGATGTTTGCAAATATTTGGCCCCTTGCACGCTGCGAGTCGGCAAGAACCCCGCGGTCGCGGGGCTTCTGTCAGGGGCCTCGGCCCTGAGGCCTGTCCCCTCTGTCCGTGTGCGCCCAGCGGAGGCGCACGGAGCTGTCGTGCTCTTGCGCGCTTAATTTCTTGATGACTACGCGTGTAGTTTTCGCGTTCCCCGTCATGGGAGCCCCACGCTCGGTGGACTTCCTTTCGCTTCCCATCGGCTTCGCACGAGTTGCTCCCCGCACTGCAGTTGATGACGTCGGGCTCAGTCGCTTCGCCGCCTGCCAGCCACGTCGTGGGGATCTCAGCAGGGGCCCTTGCCCTGCCAGCGATCACGTCGCTGTAGCTGTGCGTATTGGGGAGGAGGAGGAGGAGGAGGAGGAGGAGGAGGAGGAGGAGGAGGAGGGCCGAAGAGGAGGAGGAGGAGGCGGGATGAGGGCGATTAGGGGGGGGCGGGGGGGGGGGAGAGATTGCGGGGTGCGGAGCAGCAGGAGGATGCGGACGGCAGAAGCTTTAGTATGAGGTCGAGGACGATTACCTTTGACTACCAAGGCGAGAAGCAGGAAGAGGAGGAGGAGAAGGAGGAGGAGCGCGGGAAGCCTCGTCGTCGTCGCCGTCATCGTCGATCACCCAGCCCTGGACTAAGGTGGGGAGGAGGAGGAGGAGGAGGAGGAGGAGGAGGAGGAGGAGAAGGAGGAGGATTCGGAGGAGGAACAGGAGGAGGAGGAGAAAATATTATGAGATGGAGCAGGCTAAAGGCGAGCAGTTGGGGGAGGGTGAAAATGGCAGCAGGAGGAGCACGTGGAGGAGGAGCGGGAGGAGGACGTGGAGGAGCCGGTTGCAGGAGGAGGCCGAGGAGGCGAAAGAAAAGGGGGAGGACACGGCAGCAACAGGAGGAGGATCAGTTGGAAGCGCTTGAAGGCAGGACAGCAGAAGGAGCATTGGATTGGGCACTCATCCTGTTCAGCTGAGGCGTAATTACCAGCGAGAGGAGTGGGCATTCTGCCCTTGCCGCCGCGCTTGGGAGCAACGAGTGCGTGGCAGGCCGAGGCGGGGGTCTGCCCAGAGCACCTCCTCACACAAACCTGCCACAGTCCCCGTAGGGTCAGGGGAGGATGCATCGACCCCGAGTCGCCCATTCATCGCCACTAGGGTTCCGATAGCCCGTCCCGCCCAGGAGCGTGCGGACTCGCCGTCGGGGGCCTGATCGCCGATATAGCGGCAATGCATCGCCGATTCCAGCTCCTTGCTTCCCCCCCTGAGCCGGTCTCCCTCTGTCGCCCCCCCCTCAGAGAAGGAGGAGGAGAACGAAGAGGAGGCGGAGGAGGAGGAGGAGGAGGCGGACCAGTGTAAGCCTCATGCGCTTCAACGAGATTGCAGTGCTCGCCAGCGCGAACCCACAAACATTGCGTTTCTGGCAATCCCTGTTGCGCGATCTACGTTGTGCAGTCTATGAATTGTGCAATCGGTGTGTGAATATACACATACATGTATACATACACGCGTGCGTGGTGCAATCTATGTGATGCAAGCAGTGTGGTGTCATCTAGATGGGTCATACTGCGAGCATTGTTGTGCAATCAGTGTGGTGCAGTCTACGTGTTTCAACACATGAATTGTGCAATCGACGCGGTGCCAAAACAAGGGGCGCAATATTTGTTGTGCAGAAGAGCGTGCAAACCACATGTCGCAATCGATGTGGTGCAACTTACGTGGAACAACATTCCAGGTGCAACGTACGGGTTGCAATTTGTGTAATCGAGCCGTTGCAATTTATTGTTTGGGGGATATACCAGTGGCAACCCCGGCGATGAAGTCCATGTAGTGGCAGTGATGTGTTGTCTTTAGTGATTTGTCAACTCCACTCTTCGCGCAATTAATTATTCCACCTACCCTCCCGCAACTTGGTTCGCAAAATCCGCGCGGCGCACCTTGCGATGACGTCTTGGGGTTGGCCGGCGCATCGCTGCGGCCGCGCTATCGCGCGCAGACCTCGCGCGCAGAGCCACCAGCCAGTTGGGCGCGACCGACGCGGCCGCTGTGGCGCTGACCAACGGGGGCTTCCCAGCGCGTCTTGCACGCCGCGCGGGCACTTCACTGCGAGCCGGTGCTGCGGGAAGGCGCGGTAGAATGGCGACGTCGGCAACGGCAGACCCGACGATGTTTGTAGCGGTGTTTGTGGCGATGATGTCGACGACGGCTGGACATCCGATGCCCGCGCCGATGCTGGTCACGTAGGTGACGGTGATCGTGTCCACGTGCCAATGATGAGGGTCTTGGAATGATTCCGGCATGCGCTCGCGGCTGGCAGATTGGCCCGCACGGTATGATTCGGTGGGGGCCGCCCCCCCCTCCCCCCCCCAAGCAAGCGCGCATGGGTGTTCAAATGATTCCAACATGTGCGCGCGACGGGCCCGCTTGTCCGCATTCGATGATCATAGTGAAAACCAATGCTTTTTGTGTCGCTCGAGCATGAGCGAGCGCGCAGACTGTATCGATTCTCGGTTTGTACTGGATCGCTTGTCGAGAGACCCGGTCTTGCGATCCATGCGAAGTGGATGAATCATTTCGAAGATGGCGCGCGACGAAGCGCGCGTGGTCTTTGTTACCTTGGTTGCAAGGGATTGTTGGGGAATGTGTGCGCGCACGTGGCATGATGGAAGCGTTTGTCCGGGAGGAGGGCGGGGCGGGGGGGGGCGGGGAGGGGGCGACGTTGGTCTTCCCAGGGGCGGTGCGAGTTCGCATCTCACTGCGTTAACCTGGATGGGTGGGTGGTCGATACCAGTTGCCTTTTTAAGACAAGAGAATCAATGTGGTGCATTCCATGTGATGCTACGTTGTGCAACGTAAGCGATGCACAAATTGCGATGCAACCTATGTGAAGCAATGTTTTTTATATAAAAAAGGCGAGTTGGCACATCCCATGCATCTGTAAGCACCCCGCCCTCCCACGCGCTATTTGGTTTGCCAAACGCATGCGGCGGCAGGTGCGATGAGTGCTCGGCGTTGGCCGGTGCATCTTTGCGGCCGCGCTAGCCCGCGCATGTTCGCGCGAACAGCGGGCAGCTAGTTTGGCGCGACCGGCGTGGCCGTGGTGGCCTTGGCCGCTGGGCTCTTCCCAGCGGGCGCTTCAGCGAGAGTCGGTGACTTGAGCGAGCGCGGTGCACTGGCGACGCCGACAACGGTAGACACGGTTCTGAGAGTAGCGACGGTGACGATGGTGGCGATGATGACGGCAAGGCCAATGACGGCGCCGACGTTGATCACGCTCGTCGGCAACGATGACGATGTCTTCGCGCCGGCGATGAGAAGGAGTTCGACGCGCGCGCGTGGCCGACGCGCGCGATTGGCTCGCGTGGGATCTGGGCACGATTGGCGCGCGCCCCCCAGCGCGCTAGGGCGTTCGGCAGAGTTCGACATGCGGCGCGAAGAGGCCCGCTTGGTAAAATTTCAAAACCAGTGGCATCCGCGCGCGCTTCGTTCCGTTCTGTGGGAACGGGATTTTGGGAAACTGATGGTTTGCAATAAGCGAGCGCGCGCGCATCCCTGTCGGAGGGCGCGGGGGTCGTCGAATCACACGCATGTTGCAACGCGACAAGGTGGATCGTCAATTCCGGGAGGGCGGAGGTGAGGGGGGAGCGGGGTATAATTTATTGTAAGGGTTGAGAAACTACGCAGTGCAAGTCGCCCCCACTGTTCGCGCAATCGCCTCGCCTGCCCGCCCGCGACCTGACTGTCGCAATCCAGGCGGCAAAGATGACGATGGCTACGTGGCGCCGGCTGACTCATCACTGCGGCCGTGCCAGCGCGCGCGGACTCGCGGGCAGAGCGGTCTGCAGCCTGGCGCGACCGCCGCGGCCGCGGCGGCGATGGCCGCCGGGGGCGCCCGCGCGCGCCTCGCAGGCCGCGCTGACGCGCGGGCGTTTCATTGTGAGCCAACGAACATGGATGGGGTCCGCATCGCGGCGATGCCGACAACGTCGGGCGCGATGTCGACAGTTGCGATGTTGGTAGCGATGAAGACAGTGCTGGGGCGGGGCCAATGACGGCGCCGATGCTGATCGCGCCGATGACGACGGTGGTTCCCTCGCGTCATGGATGAAATTTGCGACGTGGATTCCGAGGCGCGCGCGCGGCCGACGGGCGCGAGTGGCCCGAGCGACATGATTTGATGCGATCGCGCCCCCCCCCCCCCCCCCCCAGCGCGCGAATAAGGGCGCTCGAGGGATTTCGACGCCGGCGCGCGAGGGCCTGTCGGGTCGCATTTGGCACGCATTATCAAGACGAGCTTTTCCATGGGAAGCGCACGGACGCAAGCGCATTTGTTTTTGAACATCTTCGTTGCGAAACAAACCTCGCCGGTTGTGTTCCCATGATTTCTGGGCACTCCACTTGGGACTCCTTGCGGAACCTCTTGTTTTTGATGGGTTCCGGCATGCGTGCGCGGCGACGAGCGCGCGCGCGTCGCCCTCGCTGTCGCAAGGTTTGCTTGCGACAGCAGTCTCGACAGGGCGCCTGAAGATTTTCGACGTGCGCCCGCGAGAGGCACATTTGGCAAGATGAAGTGGCAATGCAGAAACAACGCGTGGTTCTCAGTTGAATCCGCGCGAGCGCGACCGCAGGCTTCCTCGAGACTTCAAGTTTCGTTTACTTTCATTTTCGAAGCACTCGGTGTTTTCACAGCTTTACGTCACCCGCAGTTTTGATGGATTTGTGCGCGCCGCGCGACGACGCGCCCGCGCTCTGCTCCATTTTTTTGAAGGGGATGTTGACCGCGGGTGATGCGCGATGCGCGATTCTGCTCGGCTGGCGTCTATTGCAGAGGAGGGGGGGGGGGGGGGTCGATGAGCGGTTTGATTGGGATCGGGTGGTTCGTATCCTGGATTGGCGAGCGCGCGAGACCACGTACGACATACAATGCGAAAGTGCGACCTTAAGCCCAGGAAGGGGGCGCGGCGGGGCGCGCATCCTAACGTCCTTAGGACAGAGATTCTATGACGCAGCTTACCCGTCTGCTCCGCGCGCGACCGCGTCCGGCCATTGCGCAGACGTTGCCCGCCCACCCGCGCATGGGTAGCCAAATGAATGTGGCGGCGATTGCGGTGGCATCTTGGCGCTGGCTGGCGCGTCGCCGCAGCCGCGTTTGCGGCTTGCGCGCTCGCGGGCTTGCGCGCAGAGCGACCATTTAGTTTGGCGCGACCGACGCGGCCGCGGCGACGCTGACCGCCGGGGGCGCCCCAGCGCGTTCCGCGGGCCGCGTTGGCGCCCGGGCGCATTAGTGCGAGTCGGCGCCTCGAGCGGGCGCCGCGTCGCGGCGATGTCGACGCTGGCCGACGAGATAACGATGGTAGCAGTGGCGCTGGTGACGACGACGACGACGACGGCGACTGCGCGCCCAAATCCGGCGCGGATGCTGACCGCGCCGGGGGCGATGATGGTGTCCACGCGTCGGCGATGAAGGTTTGGGAGGGATTTCGGCGCGCGCGCGCGGCCGACGCCCCCGACTATCCCCCGTGTTGTTGTTGTTTTTTTCAATGGGGATCATGCCCCCCGCCCCCAGCACACGCAAAGGGAAGGGGAAGGATTCCGCCATGCACGCGCGCAACGCGCGCAACGTCGAAATTGATGAAGATGGTCGCACGGTTGTTTTGAGAGTGCGCAAGAGCGCGCGCAGACGGATTTGAAGTCCATGATGCACAACCGTTTTTATTACATGTATGCGTTCAAAACGCTCGATACTGAAACGTAGGGCGGGACCTTTTTTTTTTTTTTTTTTTTTTTTTTTTAATTTTTCCAGCAAGCGTGCGTGACGACGCGCGCGTGTCAATTTTGTCCCGTTGTTTGCAAGGGGTGATAAATGACCCCCATGGAAAAAAACAACGCCCGCGTTGCATGTTTTGGCAAGCGTGGCGCGGGCTAGAGACCGACATGGCTGGGATGGGGGTGGTTTCGTGTGGGGAATGAACGGGGCGGCGAATCCATATGCAAACTGCATTACGCGACTGTTCGGAGTCAATTATGGCTCCGGTTCTGTCGTGGAATGTTTTCGCTGTGAGGAGGGAGTATATTTATATGTATAAGATGGATCAAGCGATGTGGGGCAGCACTCGCGGTGCAATCTACGTGGCGACGGGGCGACGACAGATCGAGGTGGCGACGGGGCGGAAATCATTCTAGCTTGTCTTCATTCCTGGAAATACCACTTTCCAAGACAACCGTCGACGATTTCTCCACCGCGCTAACACACCATTCCTGGGAGCTCGACGCCGCTGATCAACTGGATTGTTGCGTCCGGACGGTCCTATCTCACGCTGGAACACCAGTCTTGGGAGATCAACCCTGCGAATGGCTGTAACTGTAGCGCGCTGGCAATCATTCGTTGTGCCAGATCACCGCCCCTGGGAGTTCATTCGTATGAAACTTCGAGTGTGTTGGAGGTTTTAATATCGAAGGCGCGGCTCGGAGGTGCGAGCCGCATCGTGAAAACGAACAACTCTCCATCTTTGAAGTTGCTGCTTACTTTTAAGACGAGTGCGCGCGGAACTGAGGCGAGAACCACGCCGTGATGCCAAACAGCTTTCAGTCCTTGGACGTGCCGCTGACTTTTAAAACGAACCTGTCCAGCGCTAGAGCGAGAGTCACGTTGTGAAAAGTTGTTGTTGCAAATTCCTGGTTTCAGAATCATAAGTGGTGAAGAATTCTAAGTCGAACCGCCCAGCCCGTTCTGAGGAGTAGCTCATGAAGAGGAAGTGGCGTGGAAAACGAGGAGGAAGCAGGAATGATGAGGAACCCGACCCTGGAGGGCCCCCCCCCTCCTCCGCTTTCGCGTCGAGGGGCCCTCGGTCCCGCTCTCCCGCCCACGCCCGCGGGACGCGCCACAGATTGCCACGGTCAGAGGGAGAAAAAAAAAGCGGCACCGCCCAGCGAGGGGCTGACTGAACGGGCGGATTTTGAATGAGCGGATGGGGGAGGAGGGGGAGGAGGAGGAGGAGGAGGAGGAGGAGGAGGAGGAGGAGGAACCGAAGAACCTTGAGATCCGGGCGTTGCAATGTTCTCATAACAGGAGTTGTCGTCTGATGTCTTGCCCCGGGGCCCTCACAGATCGATCCGCTAGAAACAGTGGCGCAGAAAGAACTGGTCTGGGGCTCCTGTCGTGACGACGGATCTCAGGTACATAAACGCGAACGTTCGGAGGTCCGCGCGGATCTCGTGGGTTTTCGCGAAGCGCACCAGGGAGGCGGGTCCAGCGGGGCTGAACGGAGTGGAGGGAAAGGAGGACGGGAGGAGGACGGGGGAGCGCCTACGTAAGGGGGTGAGTGGTTGAGCCTTGCGAAGTTTCGTGCGACATGCCTGGCCGTTTTCCCACCTCGCTGCAGCCCTCTCGAGCCCTGCCTCGGCAGGGGTGGCGTGAGCGCAGCTGGAGAAGAGGAGGGACGGAGGGACGGAGGCACCTGCTGGAGTGCACTGCACGTGATGCGCAGCAGTCGAGCAGCCGCGGCCCCACGGGGCGGCCCCAGCCGGCGGCGCGCAGGCTCGGGAGCATGACTGGAACGGGGGGCGGTCACGATCGCCGGTGGTGCACTCTGCCTCCCTCCGTCCTCCTCCTGGTTTTCCTGCCCGCTCTTCCCCCCTCCCTCCAACTGCGTCGATTCTTCCTCCTGCTCCTCCGCCGTGTCCCTCCCATGCTCCTGATCCTGGCCCTCAGCCCTCAGCAGCATGCCAAGCATGGGGAGTCCCGAGAGACTTCTCCCTTCGGAGCCTTCTCAAACTGTTCTAGACGCCCCAAACCATCCTCTCCCGCCGCGCTCCTCGTTGCTCTTCTGTACCCCAGAGCAGATTGCCCCCCCTAGAACCTTCAACCATCGCCCGAAAGGGTCCCCTCCTTCCCTCCCCCCTTGCTGCCTCTGACCCCACCCCTCCCCCCAAGTCACCCCCCGCCTCCTCCCCCCCCTCCTCCGTCTTTCATTCCCCTCCCCCTCCCCACAATTCCCTCCTCCTCCTCCTGCCCCTCCCCCGACCGACGAAGACGAAGACGAAGACGAAGGCAAAGACGAAGGCGAAGTCGAAGGCGACGCCCGAGCCAGCACCGACCGCCGCAGCCAGCGCGCCGGGGCTCGACCGGCGCCCTTGCCCCCCTGGGGGCTCCTCCTCCCTCTTCCCCCCCCTTACACCCCGTCGTCTGCCCTTCCCCTCGCTTTGCGATGTTATGCCACACTACACAATGCTATGACATGCTACGCCATGCTATGACATGCTATGCCATGCTATGACATGCTTCTACACCGTGGTATGCCGTGCTTTACCATGCGTCGCAAAGCCTCTCGGGATCATTGCCTTGCTCGACATCAGCCTGTGCGCATGTAAAGGGGAGATCTGCGCCATAATAAGGGTTGGGAGGGATGGGCATGACGACAGATATGACGCGATCGCACCTAGCTTGCCTTCCCCCCTCTTCCTTCCCCATTAGGGGGACAAACATCGGCCACTCGTACACGGGGGTAAGGGGATGCGGGAAGGCTGCTTAGAAGCACGCCTGCTTCTTAGATGGCTCGGGAAGGCTGCTTAGGAGCACGCCTGCTTGTTAGATGGCTCGAGCCCTACCTGTAGATGTAAGGCCGTCGCCTTCCACGAAGCAGCCTCCTCCTAAGACGCCTTCCCCCCCTCCCGCAACCCCCATGTGCGCGCCGCTACGAAAAGGTAAGGATACCGCTGCTCCGAGGACCCAGTCTCCCGGGGGCGCATGCTGGCCAGGACCTCGAGGCGATCCCGGCCGCGGCGGCGAGGCAGGGGCAGCGGCATCCGGTATCTTCTCTTCTGGCCCCTGCTTCCCGCTCTCTACCATTACTGATGGGCCTGCTTTTCACAACCACCACCACCATAAGTTGGAGGGGGGAAGGAGGAGGAGGAGGAGGAGGAGGAGGAGGAGGAGGACCCCCTCCCCCTCCTACTTGTGGTGGTGGTGCTGGTGGTGGACAACAGGCTCAATTTCAGATCATGCGCAGTGCTCTTCTCTCTTTCCTCTGACTCCGTGCGGAAGATGTTCGGCATGTTTGTAGCCACGGGACTTCAAACATCCGGTTGTAACGTTCGTGTGGTTGCCATCCGATTGTTTCCTGTGTTTCGGAATGGTGCTGCCGCTGCAGCGTGGGCCTCTCATCTTCGGATCGGTGCTTTACTCCCGTCGTTCAGCACGGTACTCTTGCCCCAGCACGGGCCCCTGTTCTGGACCCGAGTCCTTTCTCGACGTTGTCGCCCCCCTCCTTTCCCCTCCTGCGCATTCCCCTGGTCCTCCTGCTCCTCCCACTCCTTCTACTCCAGTTACTGCAGCTGCTGTTCGTCCTCGTCCTCGTCCTTCCTCCTCCTCCGTTCCTCCTGTTCATCCTCACGCAGCTCCCTTTCTCCGATTGCGCATGACACGATGGTTGGTTGTCGAATTCCAGGTCGGCTATGACACTCTTGCGCGGATTAGAAAAAATCAGAGCAGTGGGAAGGGATGGGAGACAGGGATAGGATGCCAGATATCATGCGAGCGCACCTTGCTTGTCTTCCCCTCCTTCTTCCCCCCTCCCTACCTCCCCCTCGGGGAAATAAGAAGATACATATAACGCTACTACTCCGAGGACCTGGTCTCTCGGGGTGCGTCCTGACCAGGATCTCGAGTCGAATCTGGCCGCGGCGACGAGGTAAGGGCAGCGGCATCGGCATCTTCTCCTCTGACCCACCCCCTCTTCGCGCCCTCGTCTTCCCCCCCCTCTTCATCCCTCCCCCTCCCCACCCCCCTCGGCCGCCATGGTGAAGAAGAAGGGCTTCTTCGGCCGGGCCAAGCCAGCCGCCGGGGGGCGCGCCGGGGAGGGCGAGGGGGAGGCGGACGTCGACGATGGCGCGCCCATCTCCCAGGGGTGGGTGGGCGTCTCGCGGTCGAGGGCGGCTCGCGCTGCCTCCGTGCAGGAGGCGCAAGCCTGGGCTATGGGGCGCGAGCTCCCTCGCCGGATGGGGCCTCGCTGGTCTCGTGTCTCGGGGGTGTGGTCTCCGACCGCACACACGGAGGGCAAAGGGCTGGTCCCGTCGGGGGTCTCCTCCTCCATCCCTTGTCCTTCTTCATAACATAACTTCTCCCTGTCGCACCCCGAGGCCGGTCTAAAGGGCGGGCCGGGCAATTCGCCTGAGACTTCCTCACCACAGCTGCCCCCCCCTGTGTCGGTGCGCGGCACTTCCCCGCGTGTGGCCGCAGGCGCGCCTAGCTCGCGTCTGGGGGGGGCCCGTTCCCCGGCGGGCCAGATCTACAGACCGATCCGTCAGTTATGGTCCACATTTGACGTGCGCCCGGTTCCACCAGACATCCCGGCGACGCGCTGAGGGGGGGGAGGGGGCCGGCTGAGACATCGGCGGCCCTCCTCTTCCTTTCGTCCTCCTCCTCTTCTCCTCCCTCCTCCTCCTCCTCCTCCTCCTCCTCCTCCTCCTCCTTATCCTGCTCCTCGTCCACCTCCTCCTCCTCCTCCCCCTCCTCCTCCTCCTCCTCCTCCTCCTCCTCCTCCTCCTCCTCCTCCTCCTCCGCCTCGGCATCTCTCGGACGTGCGCATGTTTTTTCGGCGAGGAGCATCTTGGATCCTCTTGCGCAGGAGTGCGCGACGTCGACAAGGGCACGGGGAACGGACGCCCGAGCGATGGCAGGCCACCCTCGTCTTTCCCCTCCTCGCCCCCTCGCTCTGGAGTGCCGCCGGTGTCTCGTCCTGCCCTCCTGGAATCGGCGCTTTCCGTTGTCACCTCACTCCCCCCCCCTCCCCCGCCCCCTCCCCCCCCCCGCCCCCCCCCCCGCCCCGCCCTGTCGGGGCCCAGGGGCCCGTCAGCAGCCTCAGGGCCAACGTAATTATTGGAATCAGGCACGGCGTGGGCTGGGCCCGCAAGAGTGGCGCAGATGATTTGACAGGTGTGCATTGGGAAGCGCCTTCGATGCGTACCCGCATGGTTCCTAGATCCCAGGCCCCCAGTCATTAGAATCACCACGGGTCAGGACGTGTGTTTTTTGCAGAGGTGTCTTGTGGCCGATATCTTGGGTGCCAGCGCAAACCGTTGATTACCAGTCGATGATCTGAGTTGTTTTAGTCATGGCCGTTGGATCCGCTCTGGCGCCCCGGCGCCGCACCCGCAGCACCCAAGACGGTGCCCATGTGTGGGCGTGTTTCGTGCTTCGTACCTGTCTCGACCGAAGCTCGACGCAGGTTCGACTCAAGCCGACGGACGTTCGACGCAGCATCGATCCATGGGGTTGAGCGAGTGGCTCCGGGAAGCTCACCAGCACGGGCACCTGACATCGAGATCTCACGACACGATTTGTGCAATCCGCGCCCCTGAGGTCCCGACCCCTTCCCCAAGGGCTCCCACGAGGGCGCGAATTTATTCGCGGTTCGCGCTTCGCGGTCCTCGTTCCTTCTCCCCCTCCTCCTCGTCCTCTTTTTCTCCCTTTGGGGGGGCGGCGCGAGAGCGCGAAGTTATTCGCGCTTCGCGCTTCGCGGAGCGCCGAGCGCGAAGCGCGAAGTTGGGAGCCCTTGTTCCCTGGGGCCAGCTCGACTCCCCGGATCCAGCTATGGTGGCCCCGGGGCCCGACGACGGGCCCCCGAGGCAGACGTCGAGGAATTGGCCCAGACTGAGAAAGTCAACCCGTCGCCCGTCGGGGGCCCCCGAGCGGGCCAAATGACGTCCGAAGACCTCAGCCCTCGAACCTCGAACTTCAAGGACGGGGAGCAGGAGGAGGAGGAGGAGGAGGAGGAGGAGGAGGAGGAGACGGAGGAGACGAAGGGGAAGGAATGAAGAGGAGGAGGAGGAGGAGGAGGAGGGAGGAATGAAGAGGAGGAGGAGGAGGAGAAGAGGAGGTGATGGAGTAGGCCCGAGATCTTGGACTCT